ACCCCACGTCCCGAAAAATCGATACGGATGCAAACAGAAAATGAAAACCATCAGGGATAAACCTTATGCATGAGTTAGCAATTGGTCAATCAACGCAAATTGCTGTCATGCAAACAGTTCATAAGCTCAGGAATAAAACTTACCTGTATTTTAAACAAATTTGCTTCATCTGTCGGAGTCTTGGAAATTAAATCATCCATTGGGTCTGAAAGAAAAGGTACAAAACTCAAAATAAGTCTTCAGAAAGTAAACACAAAAAGGAGACAAGTATTCTTAGAAAACCCAAATAACCCGTCGAGGAAATGCATTAAGGGAAACCCAATAAGTTGGACTAATTTTTTACCGGACATAAATATTTCTCCTCCTGTTCAGAAATACACCTCAGAAACCCAAACAGCAATACTCAGTGAAACTTAAGGTGATTGGAATGAAACGGATCAAGAAGGATTGAGTACTGAATAGCTGCACACACCTTGTGAAAGAAAAACGCACGCCATTTTAATCACATTTTGGATCAATGACGCGGATTAAGTTGCACACCTTGAAAAATTAGAAAACTAAATGATACTGTAGGCAAGCATTACAACTAGGCACAACAATGTACTACCAGAAACGCATGGAACTTCATAACCCCATTAAGAGACAAGTATCATCCGACCGGATGAGTTTCAAACACGGATCGAGTGAGCGTAACAAATATAAGCACCGTTAGTCTTTTCGTCTTTATTTAACACAAACCTAAATCGTTCATTTTTGATCGAGCAACACTCGAGGGCATTCTCAACGATAAAGTGTATGATGATTTAGCATATCAACAAAACAGCTACGTCGAAAAAGAGTGCCAGTTACGAAAAGATGATTTCTCGATAGTTTGCACATGTCGGCCAAATTCCCGTTTCGAAATCCCAATGTTTTGAGGCTATCCGTAGATACACCCAATATCACTGAACAAGCGAAGCCGGTTTGTCAGTCCTGCCGCTGCACACAAGCATCAAATAACTTTTCACAAGCAAAGAAGAAGCTGGAATTCAGACGGTTGCGTATAGAAATGCACCATACTGATATGATCAATCGGGGTTCAAAAATCATGAACTAATAACCACTAGTTCTGCGAAGCCTATTATTAAAAAATGGAGGACCGAGCGTTCTGACCCAAGGAATAAGATATCAAATTGACCAATGGGTATCCTAAAGGACAATCGACGAGAGAATGGTTGAAGTTAGCAATTTCAACTAGAAGTTTACAGTGAACAAGTTGACAAAACCCCTTAGTGAGGTACACGAAGGGTATATAGTTCTATTGAATAAATTTAATTTAATTTAATTTCACATTGATTACAATAAACCGAAAGCCGCATTCGTTAGATGCATCGCCAGGGAGAATTGATATACAGAGAGGGAACAAAGATCGGACACGAAGTAATCGTTTTCAATAGGAACAAGCCAAGAACAATAAATAGCTATGTGCTTTGTGGTTTCCACAGCTCGTTTGAGTCAGCAGATAGAACAACCAATAAAAACAAATTTAAACGTTTATTTTTGCTGGTCATCGAAGCGACCATGGGAAGGATAGGATGCTTACGGCACAGGGTGATCACGGACGCCCTGACCCTAGGTGGAGACTTGCCCTTGCAATCTGGCGGGTTGAAGCCTGCAACGATCCCTGATCGGAATCGCTCGGGTTAAGGGCGGTGGTGGCTATGTGGTTAGGTCATCAACTTGTGACCTGGAAGTTCCGGGTTCGAACCGCTCTACCACCGCCCGTCTTCCCTATTTCCGTATTTTCCCAAGCGGCGTTCTTAAGCACAAAGGGGTATTTTTTTAAACTGGGGATAGAAGAAGTGACGGTGGTCGTGCACTTTCCCCGTAATTTTGTGGAACTTTATTTGAATAAAACCAATAACTTTAAGTTTGATCGGGAATCCTTTAGCTACATGTAGACAAGTGTACACTGCATTTATTACAATCATTTATTTCAAACTACTGATGAGACTCAACCAGGTCGAAACAGCCTAGTGGTGCTTCCTAACTTTTCAATTCACGCTTCATTTGCTCTGCACATGACGAAATTCACCATGTGATTATCCAAATCTTCCACTACCCTCATGTAGCTACAAAAACATTCCATGCGTTCAGTCAAGGCAAGGGAGACAAAGATAAGGTTAGTCTCTAAAAGAGAGACAAACTGAAAACCGATTTCGGTTGATTACACAACATTTCCACAACTGTTCTTTGTGGACGGTTAATGCATCGACATATTTCAGTGGTCGGACTGAACAATTGAAGAGTGCATCCTTAGGATCAAAGTAGTTTTTCTTCACATCGTGCCTAGAATTCCGTGAATGAGCTTCCACAGTAATGCGGATGTCCAATATTTTCACTTTTACCGTTTCTTTATGTATACAGTGATCACTGTATAAAAATTTGAATATTCCCATTGAGAAAACGAGTTGAAGAGCGAACAATTATTTTCGGATATTCCTAGTCATGCTCTTACATATCATATACACACACACACACACACACGCAAACACACACACTCCCATTACTCTCTACCTCCGAATATTGACTTTAAAACGAGCCAATGGCTATGATTATGTAAGAATTTTTTTCCACTATATGATATGTAAGAGCATGTATAGAAATTGTTTGTTACGGTGTTCGGATGATCACAAGTGGATTAAAACGTTTCAGCGTTTCTGAAATCTTGACGCACCTTACTTGTGACCCAACGAAAAAGTGAATTAAGATTATTGCTCACTAAAGTGCTTTCAAAAAACTGTTTTTCCTTTTCATGGTCGAGGAATCTATTGTGAAATTAAATAGTACGACAAAACAAAATAAACAAGGCGAACGAGACAACTTACCAAAAGCAGTGTCACGTTCAGATGTATCTTGCATCAAATCTGATGAACGCAATTCGTCCACTGCAAGCAGCACATACAGAGGCAGGGGTGGTATCGTCGGGGCCTCGAGTGTATTGTTTGGGTTCACAGTCACCCTGTTGTTATTACCGGTGGACAGACCGGGCGCTCCCGAGCTCGAGTTTGTCCCCGGAACATCAGGTCCGAGCGAGCTCTAATCGGAAAAGAAACGTTGAGAACCGTTTCAATGTATAAGAACGATTATCAATGCGAACAAGTCTTGAGCATTTAGAGATCCACCGGGCAGAACATAAATCGGTTTCGTTGAAGGACATAAAACTAACTGACAAAAGGGTCAGTTTAAATTGAGAAGTGATCAGTTTATCAGCTGGATCACCGAAACTGTGATTCAGAAATCCTACAGTCTGCCATAAAATTGGAAATGTATTAGGAACAGATCTGTCTCGCAAAAGAATAAAGGAGTCAGGGAATGAGTCATCTATTCAAAGGTGGGATGTTTCTGAACACCGTTAATTCCCTGAAAATCGAGAGAATATTAAAACAAGTCCTATTCTGAGAGGACCGTGCACATTATCGGAATTTATTCATGGAGCAAAATTATCCACGCAGCTTTTGTACACTCTCAAACAATACAGCGTCAAATGCCTATCGTGATCGACGAGTGAGAAAGGAAATTTACAGCTAAATTATCTGTTAGCCTGTGAATGAACCAGTTGGGGAGAAGTAGCCAACACATCGTCGGGTATTTTGCTTTTGAAAGGTAAATCGCAAACAAGGAGGATGAGTAAATACAATCAGAACAATCAGCGAACAGAGAGGGCAAAAGTTCGTGTCAATCCTGATGGTCCGAAACCGCCTCACCGAATTCTGACATCAAATTTTGATAATTAACGAGATAATTTAACTATGTGCACTTACAACCATTACGACTAAACGTACCGTAGTGATTTTTTCAAAACCACTACATCCGCGATACAAAGGCATCAAAAAGTGACCACACCAACGCGGGTGCTAAAGAGATACTGAGGATTGAAAAAAAATCGTTGTACATTAGTCGGCATAAGATTGAGGAGGAAATAGCACAGTGGCGTGGAAATGTTCAATTCAGTTGACTTTGTACAACCATTAACCATGCACCTTCATGTGGCGATTTTGGTTGCTACCTTTTAGCTGCCCATTTGGATGAAAAATAGAAGAAAGGCAAGAAGGTTGAAAATAGAGTCGAGCAGAAAATGGAGAATTTCAGTGGTCTAAGATTACACGAAGATGCACGAATGCCACTGTTTGGCGTGGAAATGATTGCATCACCGATTTACTTACTTCTCGGAGATGAGCCGGTCCCCAGGAGATCGATGACCTGCGCTGTACAACGGATTGAACTGTTGTTCCCTGATTCCAAGCGGCCAAACAGCGAGTAAGATGTGCTAAAATTGCCTGTACCCGACGAAGATGTCCTAAATTCATCCACTCCAATAACTGCCGTGGATGAAACTGAGGCATGACGGGATTGAACACCTGTTGCATGACAAATAAGATGAAGAATGATCCAAACTTCGAATGAATAAAACGGTTGTACCAACAAGTCTACAAAAACGTTTATGAGACCCGGATAAAGCATTTTACTTCATGGCTCCAATAAACGCTTCAGAACAGTTAAATGGATTGCGATAAGAAAACCTAGTATACTAGACTAGAGTGATTACTAATGCTGAACAAAAGTCACTATCAACTCCATGTCATGGGTAAGCAGGTGGCGGGCAAAAAAACAAAGACCGAAGAAAAGTAAGTCCAGGAAAGAGAACTTTTCAAGTAGCAATCCTCTCAAACGCAGATGATCTTTAGGCCGACAATATAAATTTCTCCAAAAGAAGCCGGTCCAACTTCGAAGTGCATGATAAGAACATAAAGCATCCCGTCAAAGTTGAAATGAAGACAGAAGGTAAGCGATAAACGGAAATGATAAGATCACGCAAGATGATATGAGCTTTCCTGTCGGTCTGATTTTCAATAAAGTATAAACACTTAGAGTAAAATGCAATTACCAAGGTTAGAAGGGTTAGATGTTCAAACGGCATACACGCCAACATCACATTCAAACCAAAGATTATCCGTAACATTCATACAACGAATAGCATTGCGCGATAGTCAAACAGACAGCAGAAACAGGGGTGCTTATGCATTCGCTGAATTGTTTCACAAAATCAGTTTACTTGCAATCGGTATGCTTACCGTGGAACTGTTTCCGGCTTTCTACTTCTTTTGTCCAGGCCTTCATCGTTCTTGAACCAGACATGCAGTAAAAAAACAGCGACCAAAACCACCACAAGAGATTGTTGTACAAGCTGAAACCGAAGTGGTTCGACTTGTCTTTGTCTCTAAGTTGAGCTGGACTGGGTGCACTTTTCTCCTATATAGATAGATGACTATGACACGCCGATTTGAAATGAATACATATAAAGTCAATTAACTATATCGCGATTCATTCATAATTACTTAGTTTTCCAGCTACATGCAGCTAGTCTTGACCACGGACCAGATTCACTTTTAACTTAACCACACTATGTGCATGACAGCAAGCAGACTGGCTTACATAGCTTAGCAACAATGAGTGCGGAAGATAAACGTTGATTTCCAACAGAAAGATCACATAGGGATCAGACTAACCTGGATGGATTCAAAAAGACCCAAGTTGTTCAACAAAGGTTGGTTGAGTGTTTCAGAGGAAGAACCGACTTGAGTGGGTATAGCGCATTTGTTACTATGGTTCTCAACTGACGTCGAACGAGCTTGGTCCACGTTTGTAGTCACTGGAGTGTTGGTTTCCACTGTTGGGAACGGCATAACTGCATTCAACAGTGCGCTCGATGCAGATGGTTTAAGTGGGTAGGCAGAATAGGTCTTTGCCAATNTTTGCCAATCGAGCCACGTTCATACTTGCAGTACCAGACACAGCGGAATCGTCGGTTGCATCAGCCCCCTCGACGCTTTGGGCTGACTTGGTGTCTGCAGGTATCATGAAAAATATTGGAGTTGGCTAAAAAGGACCCTTTCAAACAGATGGATGATACATAAAGACGAATCTACTGAACAGTAAAGATTTAAAACCAATAACTACTAGCAAATTTAAAGTTCGTAACGCACTTGTAACTACCGTTAACGAGTCAACTACATTGGAGTTCCAAAGTCAGGAAGTAGTCCGCTGTTATTTCACTAGAATGATATCTGAAGATCAAACTTGAGTGTAGGTAAAGTGGAAAATTTATCGCCTGCTGCTCGTTCAAGGAACGGAATGTCTTACCTTTACCATCTGGTTCGATGTTCGATCCTGAGGTCACAGAGTGGTGGTTAACTGAATCGGACTCACTGGGCCACTGACTATACACGTACATTTCAGCCTGAGCACCGACCAGTAATAAACCATCACGCAACCACACAGCGTTTCGATGCCTTGAACCATGCTGTTTCGAGGTATGCAAAACATCGAGATTCATCGTTGGGTGGCCCTCAATGGATTTCAGCTCGCTTGAAACACCGCCGGATATGTGAACTTTTGCAGATGCCACACGCGTCCACGACAGGTAAACTTCACCCAATGTTGTCATCAAGGTGGACTGGAACTGATGATGACCAGAGCCGTAAGATATAATTTGGCAAGTAGGCGCGTAGACTACAACCCGCGACCCAATCATCACAGATAATAAATGTCCTCCATCTTCTGTACTGACCCAGTCCAACTGAATAGAAGGCATTGTCTGAAAGAAATCAAAAATGCCCAAGAGAATAGCCTCATGAAACACATTATGCGAAAAATGTATCAAAAGGCACAATGAAAATTCAGTATTGTGAAACAACTCTATTACGATAATAGTCTTAATCTCAGAACAGTAAAAGCGCCTCCTTATTCGTCTACGAGCATGAACTAGAGGAAGGTTAGAAGTCAACTGTTACACATTATCTGCCATAACATTTGTTTACCAATCATTTTGAGACATTGTATCACTGCGCAGCCAGTGTGCTATCGCAAGTGACTACATTAGAGATATGACCAAAAAACAACAGTAACAACTCACCTTCAAGTGAAAACAGTGATCATGAATTTCCGCACTCAGATCTATGGTGTCTTCTAGGATCCACTCACATCCACCTAGAATCAAGACAAAAACAGCCCAATGAATCAGATTTCATGATATGGAAAGATCTCAGGTAGTCAAATACGCAATAAAATTAATTTAGATTACACAGCCGGGGGAGTTTACAAATAAATTATTACAACTCGTTGTTTGTGATCAGTTTTGCTAAGACAATTATTGGCCGAAGGTGATAATATTCCCGTACCGGTTACTACCAGCACACGCCGTAGTTCCGTGGCTCTATGTAAACGCAAAGACTCATTAATAGATCTGTCTTTGTTAATCGATCAAACTACCACCTTCAGCACATTCTTTCAATCCCATCACGGATTGATGCAGAAGTTCTTTCCGAACTTTGTGTACTCTACTCATAACATCCCAATCTCCCTTCTGCTCTTTTACCCAAATAGGCAGCCTAAAGACAGTAAGCAAAACCACATACGAAGGTGCACAGCCCTTTGATTGGCCGCTTCGCCCTTCCTGAAAATTGTATCACTACGCATTCAAAAAAAGGAAGTAAAAATTAAAAAAGTTATTGTCTGCAAAAACTGAAACTGATTTGCGTCCTCCTATGTTCACACGTCAGAATGATATGTAGAACACGAGAGTACAATACATGATATATATATATATACATATATACTAGGTATTAACCTACGGTTGATAACCTTTAATGCACAAAGCCTTTGAAATCGTAGCTTTGATAATAGAGCAAATCGCCGACGAACAGTATGTCTGCGAAATACAAACATATCTGTGGTTGCGTAATTAGTGAGCTGGCCACTCGGATCAGACGGAGGGGGGGGTTAAAGTATGATATACTTGAACGATCAAGTGGCTACTTCTAAAAAAAGTAAACACCACAAACTGAAAGAACGGGCCGGAGTGTAGTGGATAGAGTAAACGCAAAAGAGACCGTTCAAAACAGGTTACTGATGCGTTACACAATCCCTATTGTGACATATTTAGACATAAACATACACTCACCACTGGATTCACACTCGTATACAGCAATCACAACTTTGGGCCAATGAACACCCGATTTGTGTGTCACCCGAACTGGACCGTCCTGAGAATGTGGTATATATGCTACAGCCACGCGTCCGCTGTACGCACAGTCAACATCTAACACGAGAGGTGGGTGTTCTCCTTCTAACTCAATTGAACTAGACAGAGAACGAGCCAACGCCATTGACCATTCGCACCAGTGGAAGCGGCTGATTCCTTTGTTCGAATCTATCAAAAGTAGAAAAATTAATCGCACTCGATAGAATTGATGTTAAACAAAAGGAGTCCAGCGTAACACATGTTGACGCCAAAAAATAAACCGATATTTGTCGAAAACGCCAATCACGAGTTACATGATAACGTGGTACAATGGTTGTATTGTTATCATTCCAAAAGACGGTGCTGATCGAAGGTAGTTATCTATAGTCAATAACGTTTGAGATGTTTAAATTGTCATTCATACAACAAAATATCTCACTTGAAACAAGGTTGCAGAATTCCCACACGCGCATAGGATACTTGACAGAACGATTCACTATTAGATGCGGATTCTTGTATTCACCAAACCGAAAATCAGCAGTTTGCTCCAACAGGTCTTGTTGATTTTTGGTCGTTGAAAGAAACCGCTGATCGCATATTTTTGCGTACTACTCACAAGTGAGTAGAATCTCACAACAGTATCAGTTTGTAAAACGTCGTTTTACACTCCCTTCTCCGATTTCAGTTCTTCAATAACCATTAATCCCTCGAAGTAAAATGGTATTTTCCTGATCACTACTGAGGACGTCCCCGGTGGGCACGTTATTAGATGATTTCAAAGAGAATTTTTACGATTCGCTAAGCATGTGATATGAGTACACAGAAATTTGTTTTACTAGAAAATCCAGCACGTCGAGGAGTGCTAAATACACACGATTCTGAAGATGATCGCCTATTCGGTCACTTCTAGCTGATTGGAATTACAAACGACTGATATAAGAACAAACCGAAGGACGACCGAAGTGGGGATCAGTCCTTAATAAACTGCCTTTGAGCATGAAGGCATTGCGTCACAAACTCGAAAACAAGAGAAAAAATTTCTTCCAAGTTCTGATAAAGGAAACGCAGAATAGGTTCTGAGTGATAACAAGCAAGACAGGGAACAATATAAAAAGTAGAACCTTGCCTTCTTCTCCGTCAGAATCGCGAAGCTCGCACCTCCAAAATCGTAAACAGCCATCGGAACATGCCGAGACTATCAAATAAGGAGGGGGTGCATTGTAGGTAGATAGAGCAGCCCAACTGACATG